CACATGCAGAATAGCAGAGACTACTGTCATTGACATCCTTTCTCACAAAATTATGATGGCATATTGGACAGCTATGTTGGATAAGGCACTTCCTTAATAAATAGCCTGACACATAAGTTCATGCAGACTATTTAAGTTTTGTTCAATTTCATTTGTTTTGTAGTCGGTATCTTCAACTGCTTGGATTAGTGATGGACTTGTCTGATCATTTCCTGCAGATAAATCAGATTGGCTAGGGTGAAATGATCAATCAAATAGGCATCAGAATCTTCAGCACAGCTGCCAATTGAAAGTGGTGTCAAAATATTATCTACAAATAATTTGCAAAATGCTCTGGTGAACTGGATGGGACTAATGGGTTGTCACAATCCCCCCCGCCCCTGCTGCCTAATGAGGCCAAAGAAGTTCTCCAGAGGATCTTGGTCGAGGCAAGGAATGATGTTGGTTAAGGTCTTGAAATGTAAATACTACAGTGAAATGTAAATATGACAGTGTAATTGTGGTTTAAAAATACAAAGTTCATTTTAATAAATGTTGTTTATTTTATTTCACATTTATATACTTTTAAGAACTTAAATTATTCAAAAACTAAATAAATATGTGTTCAATGTCAATGAATATTGCTATATTCTAAATTTTTTATTCCAAAATTGGCAATAACTGTTTCCTTTATAGTTGACCCCACATGCTGTCATGGAAATTAATACTAAATAAAAAAAGTAGCCAACGATCCATGTTTCCTCCTACAGTCTTTGCTTTATACGAAAAGTTAAATACTATGAATAATTGCATTGTTCCTTTTATTGATAAAGAGTTTCCCATTGAAAGAGAAAGTACTTCCAATTAATCCTTTCCCTGTTAAAGTGTGCTCACCCCTTGACAAGTAAAAGAGTAAAATAATAAAGTAGGGTGCATCAGGGCACAATGCAACTCAATGGGTTAACTGGATCATTTGGTGTTAGACAGAGTAAAATAATAAAGTAGGGCACGACTCAATGGTTTAACAAGTAAAAGTCTAGCTTTACAGTACATCTTCCAAGGGGGCTGGATTTGGGAAGCAGGCCTACCACTTTTAGTTGCATTGGGGGGGGGGGCTGCTTTTTTTGAACCTCAATTAAACTATTACAGACTATTACAGTAATCTGAAGGCCTGTTTATATGGTCTCCGGGTACTAGGGAAATCCGAGCCACCCTGGCAAGGCAAAATTATATTCATATCCTATTATAGCAACTGCCATGCAGGCCGTGTTTGCATGGAAAGTTTTGAACTTGTCTTGCCTAGTGGGATGATCCGGGTAGTAGGATCACTCCCTCAGGGGGCACAGCATCTCTATTACTCAAGATTGATTATATAAACATTGCCTGAGGCTATGTAAAATTGGTAGGCATTCCAATATAAGATCAAATAGTCTCTGGTTTTCCCCAATCAGGTGAACAAATTAACATGGTTGTAAGATTCTGCATCTGATTCATTGTAATGAATAATGTGGTTCAACAAGAATGATTGGCAATCTAGAAAAGCAAAATAAAATAAAAATAAACAGATTAGATTTTTATTAAACATGTACATGCAGTGACTTGGCATGTCTGAGAAATTGATCTTTGAGAGCCAAAAAAAGGTTGTCACTACACTGTCAATAGCCAATGCACTAATCTAGGGGAATCACTATAAAGTATAATTTGACCAATCCCCCACCATTGGGTTAACATATAAGTTAAATAAAGTCTATACGAGTACTTTAGAGTACTGTGGCTCCATGTCCATGACTCCATCAGTCCATGTTGAATGTTGAATGTTGATGTTCATTTTCGTATCTGAATGCTGTTTATGCAATGTTTAAATTAACGACAACCCTTTGATACAACATTGCACTTCACAAAAATATATTGATAATTTGATATATATGAGCTAGAGAAAAAAAACTCACATATAAAGTTGCCAAGTTCCAGCTGGAGTTCAGGTCTACAGAATCGAATCTTCAGATTGCCAGAAATTCTCACTCCTTCGGGTGTCTGTTCTCATTTTCGCCGTTAAAAATGCAGAAAATGAAGCTTGATTGGTTACTGCGCTTAAAATTTCCTATCTATTTCCTGATAAAAAATGTGCATGACACTTGCCAGAGGGTCGCGCATGCGCATTAAAAAAGTGGGGACATGATTTGCCTCGAGTTCCGCCTCTGTATATCCTTACTCTGTGTCCGCGTCCTCGATCTAAATCTGTCTAATATCCCACGCGAGACGCGAGAGCTTTCTCGAAACGCGAGAACTCCTCAGGAGTTATGCAGATGTCAATATCGTATTCCCAGACCATCGGCATAGAGTGGCCGCGTTGGATTGCCAACAAGTCACCCAAAGTCATCCACCAGGAATGCAAATTTGAAGTTGACGCAAATAATGCAAATTGCTTCAATTTTGCGCGCACAAGAGAAGAGACCATTACTCGAAAGATAATATAAAACCATCCCGGTTGCCAGAACTGTTGCTAAAATACATAAAACCGATACAGGGAGTCTAAACTGATTGCCTCTCAATAGAAAGACGCAAATAAAAGGAATTATACCAATAGTAAGGATACTGAAGCCATGAACATCGAAGCCATACTCGCCATGTAAACCACGGTGTATTAACATTGGAATGCCAAACAGAAACGGTAGTAACAGTAACAGAAGTAGAATGAATTCCCAGTAATAGAATTTCCTTACATTGTGGATAACTGTCATCCTACAGAGAAAGACGAGTTTTAAAAGTACTAATGCAATTCTTATGATTGCATTGATATATTGTAATTGAAACGTTGCGTTATAGTTTAGTAGGACTGGAAACCAAATCGGATTTTGAACGATGTGAATTAAGCGGAAAACACCACGAGTTGTTGATATGTTGTAAAACGAAATCAGGGCAAATATAAGGACAAAATACGTTGGAAATATTACATTATTTATAGTTTAAAGTAACGGTGAATGGTTGCGGGACAATTGGGTTATTATTATTAAGGATTGTGCAACTTGTAAGTTTATATTGGAACGGAGTATATCTTATACACACTGGTATTTGTTTATATTGATAACTATATTATTATGCGTAATATGTAATTGATATCTCTTTAATAGGATTTGAAAAAAGTTTAACTTTCATACGAATCGGCAAATATCCATACAAGAGAATAAACAAAATTTTCCTAAACGCTACAGGTTATTTCACCATTCAAATCCAGGAGAATTTTATTATTTATTAAGATTTCAGTCTGTAGAGGAACATATGGTAACAATTGTCAAGCCTAAATATATATTCATCGTCATTGGTTTATTTGTAATAATGAATGAAGCAAAAAAGGCAAGAACTATTGCTAAATCATCATTTACCCGTAGTGCTAAATCCATCCAACGGCTAATCGAACAAGGACGGCCCGAACCGGAAGTTGTCAAAGCAGGTGGCATATTTGAAACAGCCTATGAGAGAGTACTATCTAAGCATGAAGAATTTGCAATGCTTGTAGAAGAAAAAGATTATGAACAGGAAGAAGAATGGATGGAAGATGTGTCAAAAGAATATGATGCTATTTGTATGATGATAAATGATTATAAAATAACCATGGCTCCGAAGAACAATATTACAACCGATAAAGTGGAAAATCCAGCCAGCTCTCAGGATGTCGATGTGGACCCAAACAACACAAATATATACCATCTGGATCAGGCGCATTGAGACTGCAGAATCTGTACCACCAGGGGAGGCAGAACCCACTGTTACATTGGAATTATCACCTGACAACCAAGCTGCCGCAACTAATTTTCCCACTTATGCTGCACCCTCACCCAATCCAACTTCCATGAAATTGAGAACAGAGAGAGCACCGCTTCCAAAATTTGATGAAAATGTTCGAAATTATCTGGATTTTCGTAGAGATTTCAAATTTTTGGTGGAAAAGCAATACACAACTCAGGAAGCCCTTTATGTTCTTCGTAGCTGCCTGGACAAAAGCAGTGCGACCTGATAAAATGCAAGGAGGACTACGATGCTGCATAGGAAAAATTGGACCGAGAGTATGGCGACCCGAGAATTGTTTCTGATGTCCTGCTGTCTGACTTGGAGAAAGTAAAACCAGTGGATGAATTTGACCATGCACACTTTGTTCAGTATCATGCTTTAATTGAGAAGATATTCAGCATGCTGACAAAACTTAATCGACCCGGAGATTTGGATAATACAACAACACTGAGTGCCATGGAGAAAAAATTATCAAGGAATGACCGTCTAAAGTGGGCAGACTACCAAGAAGAAAAGGGGGTAACTCCAAAAATTGAAAACTTTCTAAAATGGATGGAGAAGGAAGTACGAAAGAGAAAGATTGCTGGAGCCGATATTCGTTCCCAGAGAACAATTTCTCGAAGCGCTGACAACAAAGGCTCAGTAAATACCATCACATTGAAAGGTGAGAAGGATTCCAGCACGGGTACCAGCACGGACAAACTCGATTCAAGGACTGAGAATCCAGGTGAAGTATTAGGTGAGGGCAACCAATCAGAACCACCACAACCAACGTTTCAGCATTGTTGGTTATGCAAACTGCCCCACCAGTTGGACACATGCCAACGGTTTCTGAGTATGACCCCTACTGTTCGTCTCACAGAGGTGAGGAAAGCTCATGCATGTTACTTTTGTTTAAAAATTCATCGCAACCCATGTAGAAGAAAGAAAAGGTGCACGTTGTTAAGAGACGGTGAAGCATGCAAGTTCAGTCATCACCCCTTGCTCCATGGAGCGCCATTTGAGCGAATGTCCAATAACAATGTATCTGTCATTGCGGGAGGAAAAAGCCTGCTCCCAACCTTAGAAGTCAGTGCAATAAATTCTATATCTAAAAAGAAAGCTAAAGCAAATATCCTGTTTGATGGAGGATCTCAATTAACTTTAATCAGAGAACAATTTGCCCAAAACCTAGGATTGCATGGTGAGAGCATTGGCGTCCGTATAAGTAAAGTTGGGGGGACCGAAGAGTTGCTGCAAACTAAGATCTACACTCTCCAGATTCGTTCCCTTGATGGTGGCCCGAAATTCGTGTTGAAAGCCGTAGCTATCCCTCTGATAAGTGAAAACGTCAAGGCGGTTCGTATTGAGAAGTATGCAAAGTTGTTCAAGATTGACGCCAAGCGACTTCACCGGGGTTCTGGAGCTGTAGAATCCTCATCGGCATCGACCATGCTCGACTTCACGGTGGCAACACGCTAGTCAATGGAAATTTTGCTGTGCGGCAATCCCCTCTAGGGCCGGTCCCGATGGTTTATGTTCAGTAAACCGCATCCATCTTGTTCGACTTAACGACCCAGTTGATCTAACTTCTTCCTGGTCCACTGAGCAAATGGGGATAGAAGTGAACCCTTGCTACACCAAGAGAACACCAGGGGAGAAACTGCTTAGCTCTATCGAGAAGGAAGAGGCGAAGATTATTCGCGACAGTGCTGTAAAGGTCGGACAACAATGGATGATCCCTATACCATGGGCAAAGGATCCAAATGAACTTCCGGACAACCATAGACAGGCTTTGGCTAAATTGGAAAGTATTGAAAAGCGGGTCCTAAAGAACAAGGGAAATGCAAAAATGTATGATGATCAAATATTGGAAATGGAAAAACATGGCCACGCAAAGAAGCTCACGCGAAGGGACATAGAACAACATAATGGTCCAGTGCATTACGTCAGCCATCACGCCGTTATCAAACCAGAAAAGAAGTCCACTCCTTGTCGCGTTGTCTTTAATGCTGCCGCGAAATACCATGGTCATGTTCTCAATGAATACATGCCAAGCCCGTGGCTGGCTCTCAACTTCTGGGGCACGGCACTGCAGAAAGAATGTAACAGAGGGTTTGAGATGAGAAAAATGTTTTTCCCGAATTTATTTTGGCGACCCCCCCCCGTCGCCAAAAAAATTTCGGTCAGTGTACCATTTTAAGGGTCAAAAATTTTTTCCGGACATACCAATTTTTTCCGGACATACAAAATTTTTCCGAAACCTAACAAAATTTTTAAGAAATCACAAAATTAACCACAAAATTTACAGAATTTGTCCCATGATTACAATTCGTTTCCACGTCCTTTATCTCAATTTTTAATACCAAATTTCGGAGTGGGGGGGGGGGGGCACTGCCGCACCGAGTGAGGGGGCATTGCCCCCCCCAGGCCCCCCTAAGCTACGGGCCTGGTACATGCCCAAAGGACCAGATCTCCTCAATGATTTAGTTGGAGTCCTCTTAAGATTTCGAGAAAATCATGTTGCAATCTTGGGGGATGTCTCAAAAATGTACCATCAAGTTCTTGTTGATCCTGTTGTAGATGCACATTCCCATCGGTTCCTCTGGCGAAGTTTTGAAAACCGTGAACCAGACATTTATGTTAAAACAGTTCTCACGTTCGGTGATAAACCTGCTCCACCCATGGCAAATACAGCAATGGATCTCACAGCTGAAGAGAATGCTGAAAATTACCCAGACGAATCAACAACCATCAAAGAGTGTCGATACATGGATGACATTGCCGACTCAGTTACCTCGATTGGTGAAGCTGTTAAACGTACGAATGAGATTGATCACGTTCTCAGTACAGGACACTTCAAGATCAAAGAATGTATTTCTAATGCAGATTTATCAGAAAGTCGTCCCGTGGACCACATTGTAGTGCACAAAGTACCAGTGAGATCGAAAAAAAACACTCCTGAAGGAACCACTATAGAAGAGAAAGTCCTGGGAGTGGCCTGGAATCGAGAGTTGGATTTGTTGTCTATATCAGTAAACAACCCCAAAGTTCTTATGGCCTGTAAAGTTGATGGTGTAGAGTGGACAAGGCCAATTAAACTGACAAAGCGGATGGTGTTGAGCATAATCTCTGGGATATTCGATGTATTTGGATTTGCAGCCCCTTTGATTATTCGTGCCAAGATTGGTATTCAAGAGCTGTGGAAGGGAGGATATGAGTGGGATCAAGATCTACCCCAACAAGTGAAAGATAACTGGTACAAATGGTTTGACGACTTGTCCAAGCTCAAAGATGTTACCTTTCAACGATGCTTCACCCCAGAAGATGTGTTGGGAAAGCCAATCCTAATAATTTTCAGTGATGCTTCAGAAAAGGCATTTGGAGCGGTGGCCTACATAAGGTGGAGATTGATGGATGGTTCCTTTGCAGTTAGGTTCATCATGGCAAAGTCGCGAGTCGCTCCAGTGAACGAATTAACAATGCCGAAACTTGAACTGCAAGCAGCAGTAATCGCTTGCAGACTCAATCATACTAGAAGACAATATTTTTCTGTGATTCCATGATTGCATTGACAGTCGCTGAACTGGAGGAAGCAGAAAAGGTTCTAGTTAAAGATGCACAGTCAGCGATAAAACCCTTAATTCAGAAGAATGAATTCAGAAATCTGGCACCATTCATTGATGATGATGGTATCATCCGCGTCGGAGGCCGAATTGAGAACGCACCAGTTTCATATGAGACGCGACATCCACCCATTATTCCACGTTGTCACCGGCTATCTACCCTAATCGTAAGACAAGCACACCAGTATGGACATCTCGGCGTAGCAGCAACCGCAGCAAAGACACGGAAAAGATTCTGGATCGTCGGGTACACCACATTGCAAAGAGTGTGAAATTCAAGTGCGTCTTTTGTCGGCAGAGGGCACAGAAAAACGAAATACAAATGATGGCAAACCTCCCACCATATCGACTTGCACCATTCACACCACCGTTCTTTTATACAGCTGTCGACCTGTTTGGTCCTATCAAAGTCAAAGTTGGCCGAAACAAGGCCGACAAATATTGGGGTGTCTTGTTTACATGTCTGAACGTCAGAGCTGTTTACATTGACGTTGCAACGGATTACTCGACTCCTGGTATTTTACCCGTACTGAGAAGATTCTTCTGCATCCGGGGCTATCCACGCTGTCTGTGGAGTGACCGAGGAAGTCAACTAGTAGGTGCTGAAGCCGAGTTACGGAAAGACATTGAGGGAAGAGATACCACAGAACTGAAAGATTTCCTACACGAGAAGGGTATGGAATGGAAATTTGTTACACCAACTGCCGCTCATCACAACGGATGTGCAGAGTCGCTTATCCGAGTGACCAAAGCAGCGCTCAAGAAATCGATCGGAGATCAAGTTCTCGCTCCTTTGGAGTGTCAAACGGTATTATTCCAAGCGGCAAACTTACTGAACCAACGCCCAATTGGTCGTATTCCTAATGATCCTGCAGACAGCACATATCTCTGCCCGAATGATATCCTGCTTGGCCGAGCATCGACTAACACACCCCAAGGCCCTTTCAGAGAAACAAAAAATCCACGCCATCGATATGAATTTTGTCAGCGGATCGTAGACAATTTTGGAAAAGATGGTATCAAGATGTTTTTCCATCCATGATTCCCCGACGGAAGTGGCATACTAAATGTAGAAATGTTCAGGTAGATGATATCGTTGTGGTTGCTGACCAGAATGCCATACGTGGGAAATGGAAGATAGCTCATGTCACAGAAGTTTACCCAGGTGCAGATGGAAGAATCCGAAATGTAAAGGTCCGTACAGCCACGGGTGAATATTCACGACCTATCACGAAAATTGCTGTCATCCATCCAGTTGAGGGGAACGAATAAGAGATAACAGACACGGCGCTGGCGAGATCGAGGTAGAGTTGTAACCGTGGCGCGGGAGGGTGAAACGTTGCGTTATAGTTTAGTAGTGGACTGGAAACCAAATCGGATTTTGAACGATGTGAATTAAGCGGAAAACACCACGAGTTGTTGATATGTTTTAAAACGAAATCAGGACAAATATAAGGACAAAATACCGGTAATGTAGCAGCTTGAATAAGATTGTTTTCTATTGGTCAGAGTACTAATTGGGTAGCGAAGGTAGCAAACCAATAGGAAGCCAGAGATTGTCAACATTTACCTTTGAACTTCCGGTTTATTTGTAAGATCATAAACAAGCAACTGGCAAAGAAATTGAGCAATAATATAGCTGAGAATACTTTGTTTCTAAACTTGAGTGTATTAATAAATCGTTCTGTGTATGCAATGTAAGTATCGTTTAATAATGAATAGCGTAAAGATGTAAAACGGCAACGCACTTTTTGCGGCTTATTAAAAGCAAGTTTTGTATTGTTTGTCACCGATGTCACGTTGTTAAATTCGCTAAACTTCTGTGTGAATGTGATAGACTATCTGGCGTTCCCTCGAAACGTCGAAGTTTTGTCTATATATATATTCAGGTAGACTATCACATTCACACCTCGATTCACACAGATGTTTTATCGAAGATTCTACCAGCACCAAGCGGCAAGCGTTCGAGATAAATTCGCTAATATTGCATAAGAACACGATGTGGTTTGTATTATATCTATTTCACTTTATAGAATGTTTATCTATACAGCTGCACCCAAGACGAAATACATTAATCCGTGTTGTCAGCAAGTAGTTGGATAGTTTTATCCACCGGCACATAATTTCGTGAACAAAGACGAGACATAGGCCTATTTTAAAAACGATACTAATATGTTGTCTTTTTATAAATTATAGTTGTACATTTGCCTTTTTATGTCAATTAAACTTTATTTCAATTTAATATCGTGTGATTTCACCACATGCTTGAATCAGGTGTTTTACATTATATGATTATACTTTGTCAGTTTATATAATTTTTAAACCGAAATCCTCATACGTATGGTGTATCCTCCTGACCACACAACTCACAAGTTAAACATGTGTTAACCAGATACACATGACACACCATTAGGTAGCTTTATGGAGATACCTAATAGGATATGGAAACACAGCTAGTAGCTATATTGCAAAACTAAAAGGTATAAATTGTGATGAATAGAGAGAAAATATATTAGTTTCTCATAGGGAAGCCAGAGAGGGGTGCATTTGCCCCTCCTGCTCTTTTCTAAGGGGGCTGAAGTGCCCTTTTAATGTAACGTGTGCATATACTAAAACCTCCAAATACAAGAGACTTCAAAGTAAATCTGATTATTTTATGTTGAGACTTTATAAAAAAATTCCAAGATTTTCTTGCTTAGCACCAACCACAGATGTGCCTCAAAGGGAAATTACAGTAGGCTCCCTTGTCATTTATTAATAGGGTCCCATGTCCTTTGTGTAGAAAAGTTGCAATTAAATGAGCAGAAATTTGAATTACAACAAAGTTTAAAGGCAAAATATGCTTTCAATATAATA